CCCACCCACCCCCCACCATTTGCTACTCGTAATGCAGCAATACACATTACGTATGATGAATAACGTCACATTAGTCTGAAAGTTTCAGTGAAATTGCATAATTAACTTACCCAATACGTTACTTTATATAATCATTATATCAAATGATAGAATTAGTCAAATAAATATACCGTGTCCTATGTCTATAAAGTATTTCAAAATTAAGCAACTTGAACAAAATAAAATCACAATCATAGCCAAATTAAACTTAGCAATTTCAAAAAATGTCATATTCATTGGTTTCTCCCAACACCTTTGCTCTAAAACTAAAAATACATTGCAAAATTTGTGAGAAGAAATTGAGAAACATGTTGTTGAAAATACAAGGTGTCCAATCAGTACAAATTGATGAAAAGCTTGGAAATTTAGTCATTTCAGGCACAGTTGATCCTACAACAATTCTAACCATGTTAGAAAAACTTGGTAGAAAAGCTGAACTTCTATGGGAACAAGGACAACCGATAAACGTTCAGACTATCACACAATCAAAAGTGATTAATTCGTTGAACGATTCAGACATTATAACTCGTCAACTTGAGCAATTGTCTCGAATTCCAGGATTGCAAACTATGGAGGTCATAACAACTATCAGGTTAACTATCCAAGGTGAATCAAGAAATGACCCTAGTGATAAAGTCTTGGAAATTAGGACTACCAACAATTTGAACAAGCCTAGTCATCCATTTGATCATTCACAAGGTGATGGTGATGGTGGTGGTGGATTTTGCGCGGCTTCTTCATCTTGTTGTGGTTGTCATCATGATGCTATAACTCATAGTCATAATACTCATGGATGTTGTTGCCATGGTGGTAATACTAGTAAAAATAGTTGTTGGGGTAAGGCACACCCCTCTGACTCTCAACCTCCACTTGCACCCTCAGGCTCTCAACCTCCACTAGCACTAACACCACCATCGTGGTCAAGTGGTAGTACTATTGCATCGGCCCCTCCTTTGCCGTACGATTTTTATCATTATCAGGCACCACCACCACCATCATCATCACCAATACACCACACCTATTACAATGCGTTAAGCGATGAGAATGCAAATGGCTGTGCAATCCTATGATTTGCTGCCATATATGTGTGTGTGTGTTTTTGTGTCATCCTTCATGTCAATATGTGGTTTAAGGTACAAATGTTACACAAAAAATAAGGGAGCAATTCCTAGTAGTTCATACAACTGGTTAACTACTCTTCTAACTGTACTTTTTAAAGTTCGCTCTTTGTTGGGTAAATATTATTGTTTCATAAAAATTTTAAGGTGTGGAAGGTACTTTTGTAAACGAACATTTTTTTTCTAGAAGCTATGCAATGCATTATTTTTAATACAATGCATAAGAAATAATCTTTAACATAACTAATACAAACATTACTTATACACTCTACCAAACGTCGATCATGATGAGGAAACACTATTCTAGTGTTCAGAAACTAACTGGCTTAGTCCATGGGTATTACAAATATCAACATAAGAATTTGCCAAGGGAAGACACAAAATCACAGTTCCACAAACTTTTGGGACATAGAATTCACTAAAGGAAATCACAAAGTATCATAAAAGTGTTGACAATTCATAACGATGGAGTTAGCGAAGAATGCAGTTAAATCCCATGACATACTTAACGTAATATAACAGATCTAGTCATAGAGAACTCTAGACAGAATCTCAGATTTACAGCAAAAATGAACATTAGGTCAGCTTATCAAGAAAAATACAGATATGTAGAATTAAGAAGAAACACAAAGTAGTACAAGTCTGCGTAATTCCAATTCCAATTCCAATACAGGTGCCATAACGCTCACTGGAACATGATAGCCACATCCAAGTAATCTCCTATCTGAAGTAGCAAGAAACAAGTCAATACCAAATTCCGAGAAAAACGATGAGGTCAATGATCTCATATGAACAGAGTGTTACCTGAAATTTAAGTTCACTCAATGTTTTGCTGCCATTATCTGGTCGCCTCATATTGGGGTAAGAAAATGTAGTCCCCACCTTCATGTCACAGAGAATAAACACTATAAGATCACTGTTTGCTTGAGAACATCACGAACATATACCATTGCATTACAAATGGAAATGCAATCCTGCATTTCTCACACAAAAACATCTGAACAGTAAAATTTGATGAAACATTTCCCGCCTAGGAATGAGGATGTAAATACTACAATTAACTGTCACTTTTTCCAAAATCTCGGAACTTCCTAATTTCCTTTTATTTTGCTACTATTGGGAATTGAAATTTAACCATAAAACTACGACACATGCATTGATAGACTGTAGGAGCATTAATTCCCTGGACATAGTTTAAGAATAACTTTTGATCAATCCCTACTTGAGCATTTTGGTTCATCACCAAGGCAGAACAATGAAGACAAAAGCGAATTATCTCATGTTTGCTGGTCAGCAGTTAGACCAAAGTCAGAGCTCATTTCAACTTTGTAGTTTCATCATCTTTCTGGAACTATATTTTGGGTGTCTTCCAAAATAGAACTATTAATCTACAAGAAGTTCGGTTTAGATGGTGTGTTATATTTTCCTTTACCCTCAATCCTCTAGTCACATGGGTAGCAATTTCAATGCACCAAAGACATTTTTGTTTTCCTTGAATATCATCCATACAGATATGTGTGCACATTAGATGAAAGTTGACAAATTAATAATTTTGCGCTGATGGTAGTTCAACAATCACAAAAGACTGATCTAGCCAATAAACATAATATCCTAGAAAAGAGGATGGAAGGCAAACAGATAAGAAGATAAAGGGCATTGATGGATACAAGGACACTATCAAATGCAAACACCAAGTTCATGTACAAACAAGCATATAGAGAAGTGAAGTGAGATAGACCTCTCTAACGACAAAGCGCCCCCTTTTATCCGGATAGACAAAAGCAAAGGACAAAATTGCATCTCTTCGTCTTGCTTCTGGAGCTACCTCTTTAACCTGATACAGTCACAGGAAATAGATAAATCAGATGGAATGTAAATGTTTGCCATGGAAATATACAGCCACAGTACAGCTGTACCGGCATGGTCCCAGAACCAATTGTCTACAAATTGTGCCACAGAATTGCAGATGGATATGATTACTTACACTGCAACTTTTTGCTTGGCATCCAGGCAGACCAAATAAGGTTTTTTCAAAAGAAAGATAACAATATTACAAATCTTCGGTAGAAAGGTTGTGCCGAAGCCATATTTACATGACCATTTAAAAAAAAAAAAAGCCATATTTACATGTTTAAAACAAGCAGAAGTATACAGCCTTATTCTTCTTTCAAGGATTCAATAATTTCTAACAGGGAATCCAAATCTTCTAGATGTTTTCTTAACACCAAAAATGAAAAGTAAGAATTCAGTTCAAATTGATTTTCTGAATAGAACTACTTCCTTCAAAACATCTGAAGTTAATTTCCTTCCAAATAAGGAGTTTTCATTTCTGATAAGTAGTTGGCTCACATAAAACCATAAGAGAGACAGTTTTGACATAACCTGCAACTGTCTAAGCAATAGCTGATAACATCAATTGGTTCAGGACATCTTACACTCTTACTTTCATGCCGAACATTATCAATATACCAGCTCACAGAGGTCAGAAATTCATAGGATGCTGCTCCTAGTTTCAATGAGGTACTATATATGAACTGAACAACTCAAATACAAGCTATGTATATGGAAGAAGACTCAGCACTCAAAAGATAAAAACAGCTCATCTCCCAGACAATTAGTCATACAAGGAGGATAGAAGGCACATTGCAAGAAAATTGCAACAATATCCTAACATCCTGAATTGCTTTATGCATGCTGGCAGATAGTGAGCATGAGAATATACAAAGAGGAGGGAGACAACAACTAAATTGAAGAGATCAGTTAAAAGATATACTGTGTGTTACTTTCTTCATACCAGATCAGTTAGTTCGCGCAGAGTAGCATCCATCCATGTATAGATTTGGACCTCATCTTTGGGTTCCTTGCCTCTCACAGCAAATTCATTGACATTGTGATGGCCTCCAACCTGTAAGTTCCAAGGTGAAGCACCCACTGAGTATATCATCAATTAACCAGAAAGTGATTCAGCACCCACTGAGTATATCATTAATTAACCAGAAAGTGATTCAGCTTTTTGTTTCATACTTGTCTTAGAAGTGGTGAAACAAAAAATATGCTTGCATGGCCACTTTTTGGGGAAAATCAACTAGTGCAGCATACGCAAATCATATACATTTAGAAGGCGAACACAATATGAAAAGCAAAATCTTACAGATAACTTCATTTACTTTCAGAAACTCCAAAGCTGGTAAAACTTAAGGGGTCATTTGGTAGCTGGATAAGAAAAAAGTTATCCATGTACTAATTTTCATATAACTTATACAACGTTTGGTAGGTAGATAGGAAATAAGTTAATTCATGTAAAAATTAATACAATGTTTGATTAACAATTTAGAAACGTTTAAGTTATGAGGGAATCGTATTATTTTATGCAGGATAGGTGGAATAACTAATACATGTATAACTTATCCCTGCACAACTAATACATGCATAAAATAATACATAGATTCACTCATAACTAATCCCTACACTGCTAATACATGCATAACTAACCAGCTACTAAACGACCCCTAAGGGTTATGTCCAATAGAACACCTTTGAAAGGTCTTTGTCTTGCTCATGGTTATTCCATTATAAAAATTTACCTTCTATCAAAACAGAAAAACCAAAAAAAGGAGCTCGATTGGAGAACATACCTTAGTGAAAACACGAAGCAACAGAGGACAAGTCTGGTTTTCGATGGAATCCCCAAAAAATAACAAAAAAAAGGTTTTGTAAGTAATTTCCCATATGCAAAGAATACTCGATTTATGTTCTATGAACATACATTAGCATAGCAAGTACAAACAAAAAATGCAAAATATTTGCACATGTTAATAGAAAAATACATGCCGACATGCTGATAAAGAGAACACACACAAAAATAAAACAATCATTAGATTACTCAGCATGTATGGTCCCAAGATAATACAAAGTGATGCCAGGTCTCAGTTCATATATTTCTAGTATCAGTTACAACTCCATTTTCTTCAACTTGGTAAGCAGCTTGTACAACAAACAGCACAAGTGCCTGCATGCCTTTTACCTTTTTAGTCTGCCCAGGCTGAGAAGGAGGAAGGGCAACCAAGCTTCCATTCTTTTGAAAATAAATGTAAAAGCAAACCAGACAAAATTCTATTTATCAAGGTACATAACATGAATTAACCATAACAGCCCATTCGGTGATCGGTACTGTACCAAATGATGGACACTGTCTCCTCACAATTTACTGCTTCTTTTATGGCAGGCTAAAGGTCTTCTTTTGGGTAAATTGGCAAAAAGTTTATGCATGTACATATCCTTGATATAGTCCTATGGTAAAATCAGAATAGACATGGAAGAAAGTAGTATATCACCATTGCATTTTATTTTTCTTCAATTTACATAGTGATGCATTCTCCTTTAACTTCTAAATTCTCAAACTTACATTTGTTTTTTGGGGGCTAGTGTTAAACTTCCATTTACCAAATCAAATTTCATTCCATGAATACTAATACACCAACCAGAGTAAGACTAGTCAAATTAGTATTGAAACAAAAAGAGTCCAAATAGAGCAAAATGATATGGTCAGCCCAACAGTGGCAGAGGTGAGATTTTCACTAGAGGCTCATAAACACACGAAGAAGTCAAAAGGAAATTCAACATCTACTATATATACATGCACATAATTTTAATACTTAAAGGTGTGGCCTAGTGGCCAATGAAGTGGTTGAGAGTTATGAAGTCTCATGTTCAAATCTGAGCGGAGATTAAAAAACACTAGGTGATTCCTCTCATTGTTCTAGCCTTGGTGGAACATGTTGCTGTTGTGAGGTAACAGGTACATGGAATTAGTTGAGGTGCACAAAAGCCGACTAACACATAATTTCAACTATGTATAAGCAATATAATTTTCCTCTCAGAGTTGTTGCTGTTGAATAGCAATACACCATAAAATAAGATCTTTTCTAACCAAAACCCTAGCGAGAGTCCGCAACATAAAATAGCTTCGAAACTCAAAAAGCACCAGCACAAGCTACTTCACTCCAAAAACAACCTAAATCCCTAACCAAACCAGTGTAACCTAAGTCAGAAACAGAGGATTCAAGCAAGAAAGAAAGAAAAAAAAGTAGGACCTTTTCGCGATCAACTGGTACGGGCCGTGGAGCAATCCTTTGAGGAGGTGGACCAAGTGGACCTCTGGGTGGAGGAGGAGGTAATGGTCTTCCTCTTCTCTGAACATCCGCCATTGTTGTTTCACTCCGGTCTCCGTCGGTCTGTCACTCTTTCATACAACAGGGGTTTAAGCAATTTTTTCTAGCTTTGGATCTTTATCTTGGGCCTTGTAGTATTAGAACCCTGTTGGGCTTTAATAAAATTGAAAATTTGGAAAAATTACTAAAATACACGTCTTATGTTTTCCTTATTTTCAATATTCCCTTCTATTTCCAAAATCCTCTAAAATCCCTTATTTCTCTCCTAATTCTAAATTATTTTATAATGTATCCGAGCTACATATTATGTATCCGGTTTATTTCATAATGTATATGAGCTACATATTATGTATCTGAGCTAGTTTTTAATGTATTCGAGCTACATATTATGTATCCGGTTTATTTTATAATGTATCTGAGCTAGTTTTTAATGTATCCGAACTACATATTATGTATTCGGTTTGTTTTACTTTTTCAGGGATTAATGTAATTACAAACTAAATAGGGATATATTGTAATTTCATATTAAAACTATATGATTCCTAAAATTTATACTGAAAATTTGGCATAGAATAACCATGTTTTGATTATCTGGCATAAAATGGCCATTTTGTATTTTTTGGGTCAAAGAAAAACACCTTCTTCTATCTTTGCTACCTATGAAACGAGTCTCTCTTTCATTCACAAAAAAAAAAATTAGCACCACAAGACCCATAATCCTTAAGTAAATATAGGTGTGTTTTACTAGTAATTTTTTCGTTGTGTACTTATTAGTACCACAAGACCCATAATCCTTAAGTAAATATAGGTGTTTTTTTCTACTAATTTTTTCGTTGTGTACTTCTTTAAAAAATCATTTTCTCTATTCGAAGTTTTAGTCTCTTCATTTGAGGCACTCTAGCGTAGGAAGTGTAGGTCTGTTATTGATTGGTTTAAAATTGGTAAAATGGCTTGATAAGGTTTGATTCAGTTCATGAGGTTATGGAGAAAGTTCGACTTATTAGGGATAGGTTGAGAACGGCATAGAGTAGACAGAAATTTTATGTCGAAATAGGGAGGAGAGTGCTTGAATTTGTTGTAGTGATTGGGTTTATCTGGAAACTTCACCCATGAAAGGGTTGATGAAGTTTGGTAAGAAAGGGAAGCTCAATCCCTATTATGTAGGTTCTTATCAGATTTTGAGGCGTTTTGACAATGTGGCTTATGAGTTGGATTTTCCTTTAGAGTTAGCATTAGTGCATTCAGTGTTTCATGTGTCCTTGTTAACTTTAGTTGTGCCTTTAGAGAGTGTCGGTGTGAAGGAAAGTCTCTCTTACGAAGAGGTCCCATTTGAAATTCTTGACCGTCAAATTCGTAAGGTGAAGAATAAGAAAGTCACTTCAGTAAAATTCCTTTGGAAGAATCAGTTAGTTGAGGATGCTTATTGGGAAGTCGAAGCTGATATGATGTCTAAGTACCCATCCCCCCAATCTCTTTCCTTCCAATTCAGTTTTAGCGTGAGGTAACAATTCCTCCTCAGTACACTTTCATATTCATGTTATTCTGTATTTTCACATCTCAGTATGCATACATGTTCAGGAAATCAGTTTAAACTTCATATTTTTGTCCCGAGTCGGTTTCTCCTTCAATTTCAGTGTTTAGGTTTCAGTATTGGGTTGGAGATCTTTCTCTACTTTTTTCAACCTAGTTAGACCATATTCGAGGACGAATGTTCTCAAGGGGGAAACATTGTAACACCTTAGAAGTCTCTTAGTGTATATCAAGTTTGGAGAATGCAGAAAAATTTGAAATCTACAGACTTTTGGATTTTACGGACATATTTTAAGAGTCATAAAAGTAAGTATGACTCGTAGGTACCCTTCGTAGATGATACTTCAGAAATAGGATAATTGGTTCGGTGATTATGATTGGGTTTCACAAGTCGTGTTTGGTTTCACGAGTCGTAGACATACCTCGTAGGACAACTTAAAAACATGAAATTTTGACTTGAACAAGATATAAGGGAAACATGGGATATAATTGGATCTACGGTTCGTAGAAAGGGTCACATAGATCAGACTTTGGGGAATATGTATTTCAATATATTGTTTCCTAGAGATGGACAGTACGTATCATACAATGGACTACATGTCATGATTTTAATTCGTGGTTCGAACGTCTAAAAACTCATAAATTTCCTTTGAGTTCTACGAGCAAGGACCTATGGTCAGTGAAAAGAACTGTGGTCCGTAGATACCCTCGTAAAGTCCTTTCGACGGTTTTTAATAAGAGTCATTTTGGTCTTTTCTCATTCTTTTAATCCTCATACTACGTCGTTTTGACCTATTCTAAGTAGGATTAAAGGATTCCCATCCGTCCAAATCCTTCATTCTCTCATAACTCACCCAAAATTTAATTTCTTCTCTCTCAAGTCTTTCACCCTTAAGCAAGCTAGGATTCCAAGCTTCAAGCCTCCATTGAAAAAGTAAAGTTAGGGTTTCCATTTCAGGTATGTGGAAATTTCATCAATAGGTCTCTCTTCCACCATTTAGTCCCAAAGAAACCTCAATTTATTCAAGTTAGGATTTCCCCAAAACTAAGGTTAAGATGATTTTCATGAGTTCTTATTAAAATTCAATTTCTCCTTCATGATTAGTCTTCAATTGCATGATTTTAATTATAATTCAATGTTTTCAATGATATTTTCATAAACCCATAGCAAGCAAGTATTTTCATGATCAGAAATTATTATTTTCATATGTATGCCTTAGATTATCATATTTTTATGAATTATGATGCTTTCGAATAAAGTATCTCTAAGTATATATACATATATATCATGATTTAGATGCTTTCAGATTATATTCAATTATCATGATTTATGAGCTACTCAATATTTTATTAGTTATCTCGTATGATTCAGTAGTACAAATAATTATTATTGTTTTCAGATTTATGCATGTTTTCTTGGGAGTATACTTAGTACCAAAGTGGACTTTTGAAATGAACGTTTTCGTTTAGCGTCTATGGACCTTTAGTAGCAATCTCTAAGTTTCAGAACTACGTGCCACCGTAGGATTAGTCTTTATAGACTTTAGTTAGTGAATTCACCTTAACTTAGCGATCGGGTTCTTACCTTGGCAAGTATGTACACTCTCTTTTCAGTGTGGGGGCAGAACATTAAATTTCATGTATTAGCTCACATGATTTTATGTCGGTTTTAGTATACCACACACTCAGATTTTCAGATATTACATGACTTTGTATATATGTAATTTCAGATCAGTATATCTGAGTTTCATGTTATTTTACTTGATCATTACATCAATGTGTTTCACAAATTTGTTCAAATATCATGTTTATTATGCATTTCCTCATACTCAGTATATTTAAAGTATTGACCACATACTTTATGCATTTATTGTTTGATAATATAGATGATGACACTTATCATCAGGTGAGTGGTTAGTGTTATCTCTGCTCATCTAGCAGCAACATCAGTGAGTCCTCATCTCATCGAGGACAATCTGTATCTTTCTTTCGGTATTGAACTTTCAGTTTCATATATGTTAGAGTTAGCCAGGGGTAGAGGTGTGTATCAGTCGGTGCAATTCGGTTTTAAGTATTATCGGTTCGGTTTATTGGTTTTCGATTTTTAAATATGCTAAATCGATAATGAAACCAATAAGATATTTGTTATTGATTTTTGATTTATCGATTTTGGTCTTTAACGATTCGGTTTTCGGTTTAACCAATAAGAAAATGCTTTCAAAATAAACATATGACTTGTCCAACAATTTAACGCAAAATAAAAAAGAGAGAAATATAATTACTCATTGAGTGCAAAAATCTTCTTAGTGTAGTAAAACTATAGCAAATACTCATAATTCACAACCCTAGTCATTGCATAACCCTTGTTGTCGTCGTTGCAAACCTTAGACGTCATCGTTCTTAGTTCTTTAGGTTTTTGACGTTGTGAACCTAAAGACTAAAGTAATACTAAAACCTAAAGGGTAAATGCAGAGAGCAGGTTAACTAAGTAATGTTAATTGTGTAGGGTCCTTATAATTATAGTCTAATATAGTGATTATACTAATATTGTTTGTTTGATATTTATGTATGACTAAAAACTAAAATAGTAAATTATTATATTCTCAATGGGTTATCGATTAACCCAATATTAAAAATTCAATATCAAACCGATAACCCAATAAATTTTTTTTATAAAACCATTAAATAATTGTTAACCCAATAACAATAAACCAATAACACTTTTTCGTTCGGTTTATCGGTCGGTTCGATTTTTACCCCTAGCCAGGGTTTTGTCTTAGCAACTCATGTTAGTAGAGTCTTTCAGACAGTTAGTTAGATTCTGTCATGTTATGTTGTCTTCCAGACATTTTCTATTTCAATATTATGAATTCTATCCAGATATTTCAATTTTAGCTTCCGCAAATGTATTTAAGTTTTTTGTTGTTTTGCTAATCTTAGAGGTCATTTGGTGTGAGGGATAAAAATAAATAGTGATGGGATAAGAAAATAGTGATGAGATAAAATTTGTGTATCTTGTATGGTTGTCATGTTTGGGGTAACTTATCCCACCATTTATATCATAGTGATGGGATAAGTTATCATATATACATGGTGGCATAAGTTATCCCAAGATAACTAACCCCAGGATAACTAATCCTGGGATAATTTGTTCCCAACCAAACGACCCCTTAGTGTCATGTTATGCCATGAGGTTAGCTTGGGGTCACTCGTGGTTCTAAGCACCATGTCGCGTCTAGGAGATAGTGTAGGAGCGTTTCTAAGCACCATGTCGCGTCTAGGAGATAGTGTAGGAGTGTGACAATACATATACTATACATACATATACATATAATACACATATCAATACATACATACATATATATATATATAATTTACATATTTGTACATAGTTGTACATATAACATCCATATGCATATACTATATATACACACCCATACACAATAGAGTGTATATGTAGTGTATACTTTAGTCATTTTTGATGATTTAGATGACTGAATGGTATATATAGGTAACTATCTCAAAATTCTAAAAATATAAGGCCCGCCCGACCATGAAAATTGGCATATTTG